CGTTAGCTAAACGTAGGTTTAAACGTAGCTAGTGATGTGTTAATTGTGTTATATTAGTTAGCTAAACGTAGGTTTAAACGTAGTGATGCATTAAAAGAGGACGGAATGAACTAGTTAAATTTAGTTAAATTTAACTAAATGAATTAGTTAAATTTAGTTAAACGTATGTTTAATTTAAATGTAGTGTTAATAAATTACTTAAATTTTTTGTAATATTAGTTAAATTTAAGTATTAGGTAATTACATATATTTTGTGAATTATTGTTGTGAATTGTGTGCATTTCATTTAATTTAGTGAAAATTAGTTAGTTGATTATTTAGTGAAATAACTCACTTAAAATTTGTTAGTATTATTGTTAGTATTTGAACGTGTATACTTTTTTATTATAATATTCAGGCATAATGTATAAACAAAATAGAAGTTGGATGTATGATAAAGATGCGGTATTGTACGGAATGCAATCAAATTTTCTCGAGGGAGTTGGGGAATTTATTGAATTTGCACTTGAACATCCGGCTTATATGAGTGGTGATAAAATAAGATGTCCATGTTCAAAGTGTAAAAATCTCAAATTTAAAGACCCACACGAAGTTGGGTATGATTTGTACGCGGTCGGTTTTGTTCCCAATTATTATAATTGGACTTCTCACGGCGAACCTTTGGATCCATCTGTTATACCACAAACGGTAGGTTCGTCTCGTTACGTCCCTCCAGAGATGAGTGCGTGGGGAGACCGTGCTGAAATGAGGTGGGACCAACAAATGGTATATGACGCATACGGTGTACCGATGTCTCAGTTCAACCCCCCACAACCACCTAACGACCCCCCTGAAGCCTCAACCTCGTATCAACCAGATGCGGATGAAAATCCGACATTTTATCAACCTTATGTGGATGAAGGTTTGGCTGAGAGATTTCAGGATGTTCTAAAAGCTGCCGACCAACCTCTGTATGCTGATTGTGAGGGATACTCTCAGCTATCCGCCGTTACTGAATTCATGAACATAAAAGCCGAATACAGTCTCCCTGAAAAACGGTTAGTATCATTATCGACCCTTTGTTAGTATCATTAGCGTGGGGCCCTAGTGCCAGTGCCAAAGTGTGGCGGCAATATGTGATAAACGGTTACACATATCACACAGCCGATTACGGAGAGGGCCGACCAACAACGAACAGCGGGTTATGTGTCCCGACCATCGGTTATGATAACTCGGAAACCAATTTTTTTGGTGTCCTGCAGGAGATTCTGGAACTTGAGATGCCTTCTGGTGCGAAAAAATTGACATGCGTTCTGTTCCGTTGCACATGGGTCGACCCCACACGTGGCGTGCGCAAAAATCCGAAGTATAATATGATTGACGTCAACCAGTCTCGTGTGTACCCGAAAAATGAGCCTTTCATACTCGCCCAACAAGCAGCGCAGATTTATTATGCAGAATATCCTTCAACAAGGCGGACACAGAATCCTTGGGTGTGTGCATGTCCTGTCCGTCCGAACAAAATAAAATCACAAACTCAACACAAGGACGTTGATCTAGATGTTTTTCAGCAACAATTTTTCCAACCTCCGCCTATTGTTGAGACGGTCAACTATGACATCCAATTAAGTGATCCAAATGGCGGACGTGTTGAAGTCATGCCAGAAACGCACCTTCCGGACCCAACCATTCCATCTGAGCGCGAAATTGAGGAAATGTATGTAGCACAACAAAACGCTCAATATCAGGAAGAAGGTGAATGGATAGACGGTTCAGATACAGAAGAAGATACTGTATATGTAGAAAATGACGATTCTGATAGCGAATAATTGTGCTGTTGTAATTTTAATTTTATTGACTTCTAATATTTGTGCAGATTTCTTCATCATTATATTACTCCAACAATATTTGAATTTTTTTCTATCTTTATCATTATTATTTATGAACAAAAAATTACTCCATATTAATTCAACCACAACAAGTTTTTTATATCCATATTATAAATTCAAAATAAAATTTTTCACAATTCGAAGTTTGAAAATTAAAATTTACCCAATACAAAATATGAAATTACTCTATATTATATTCTTTTATTTTCAAATTCAAAAATTCAAATATTATTTTTGATTTTTCTAAATTCGAAAATTTATTTTAATAATTTTTAATAATTCGAAATTCAAAAATTAATTTTAATAATTCTAAGTCTATTCGAAAATTAACAAAATTCGAAAAAAAAAAAGTAATTTACTTTTACTAATCTGAATATTATAATAAATTTAGATATTAATAAACAACTAACAGAGATTTATTTATCAAATTTCAAAGATAAATACAAAACACACAATGAAATTGTCACATATTATTTATCAAACAACTAACATAGATTTATTTATCACATTAACCTAACTAACATTATTCATTCCTCAATCGGAAACTTTCAAGAGGCCTAGCCCACAACTCCTGAATTTTCATTCGAGCTTCTTCGTTGATCGGGTCCATATACTCTGAAACTTCTTGTGCACGTTGAAGCATCCGACACAAATTCCTTGCTTTTGACTTGCCCAACGAGTCGGATTCTTCATCTTTATAATCGCCAAAACTTTCAAGGGGTCTAGACATCAACTCCTTGATTCTCTCGTATGCTTCCACGGTTTTCGGCTCCATAAGCTCTGTAATCAGCTTAAGTCGTTTCATATCTCTACACATCGAATCCCAGTCAATTGGACCTCTATTAGCCATTTTTTTTACAGGTCTTAGTCACGGATAATTCCGTGACTAACCTGTCAGTCTGGTAGCCGGAGAAGTGTCAGGGCCGCCGGTCTAGTCACGGTTGTAACCGTGACTAGAACCGTGACTAAATTCAAAATTTGAATTAGACACGGTCTTAGTCACGGATAAAACCGTGACTAAACCGGTCAAAGGCGGCCGATGCCGCGTGGCTGATTTCGTTGATTACGAAGGGTTTAGTCACGGATTTATCCGTGACTAAGACCGTGACTACGCCCTCATATAAAACCGACCCTTAGCGATTTTTTCAATTCCACCTTATTTCTTAACCCTAAAACTCCCTTCGAACTCCACCGCCGCCTTCCACCGTCCGTCGCCACCGACCACTCTTATCTGTCGCCTGCCGCCGTCCGCAGTCCGCTGACGTCGCCGCCGCCACCACCGCCGGTCTCTGTCACCCGCCATCCTCCTCAATCAGCCGTCCGCCGCCTTCCACCGCCTTCCACCGCCATCGAGGTTATGTTCTCAAATCTCAACTTCTATTTTTTTTGTATTTTAATAATTAATTATAATTTTTTTAATATTTTAACAAATGCATGTTTTGTTGTTATTGTAATTTATATGCATGCTCTGTTTATATTAATATACCCATGTATATACTTAAATGCGTACTTTAGTTTTCAACATTCATGTTCTATTTGTTGAATAAAAATTCCATGCTATTTTAATTTTAAATTCTTTAATTTCCGAAATGCATATCCAAAATCCAAATCTATGCTAATTTTAATATATATCCGAATAAAATGCATGCATACTTTGATGAAATTTATGCTTTTGTTTTTAGTTTGATGTGTAGTATGCATACTTATATTATAGTTTGGTACCATCTCTTTTTTTTGGGTTGTATTAATATCCATGCTTAAACATGTATTATTTTTTGTTTAAACCATATGCATGAATATTCGAATGTTCTTATGCTATTTTTGGAATTATTTTTGGACTTATGATGAAGCATGCATGCTCAATACAATTTTTTGGACAATTATTAGGTATTCCCGAATTATTTAAAAAAAAAATTGCCCCCTTCATGTTAAACTTGCAAAAAGTTTAACATGTTTGAAATAATGAACAAAAAATTAATTTAGACTGTTTTGAGAAATTAATTTATAAACTGTTTTGAATAATTAAGTAAAACAACAAATTTAGACTGATTTTTAACTTATATTACCAAAACTAAAAAGTATAAAAACTGTTTTTTATAAAACTGTTTTTATACCAAAATCTATAAAACTGATTTTTTAAAAAAAGTAGACTATTAAACTGATTTATAAAAAACTATAAAACTAATTAATTCATACACTATTTTTCCTAAAAATAGAGTTTAATAAGTATAAAACAGGTTTTTGTAAAAAAATGTTTTTTATTAGTTAAAAACTGATCTTTGTAAAATAAATTTAAACTTTTTAAAACTGATTTTTATATAAACAATAACAAAACTGAGTTTTATATAAAACTGTTTTTATAAAACTGTTTTTATATAAAACTGTTTCTATAAACTGTTTCTATATAAAACTGTTTCTATAAAACTGTTTTTACAAAACTGTTTTTTTATAAAACTGTTATTAGATCTCAAAAAAAAACTGTTTTTAGATAACTTTTTTTTAGATAAAACTGTTTTTGATAAGTCGAACTATTTTTTACTGTATTAAAATGATTTTTATAATTTCCTTATATAAAGTATATATGTCCCCTCATGTAAACTTGCAAAAGTTTAACATTTTACCTTAAAGGCTAATCAATACAAAAATGTATTGTATCAAAGTCATAAAAAAATTAATTGAAAATATATCGACCCCTCATATTAGACTTATACACAGTTTAATATGTTACCTTAAAGACCAATCAATTGAAAATGTATTGTATCAAAGTTATAAAAAAATTAATTGAAAAAATATCGACTTCTCATATTAGACTTATACACAGTTTAATATGTTATACACGTTTTCAATTGATAAAACTTCTACAAAAATCTTATCTTCTACTATAACTACACTAACATTTAAAAATATAAATTAATATATTTTAGATGAGCAATGAACAATCAACCTCGCGTCCCCGCCCAAACTATGTGCCCTTAACCGAAGCTGAGCGCAACAATGAAAATGCGCTTTGGGTGACGCCCCACATGGTTGCGAAGTAAGTAACTATGAATTTTATCTAACGTGAAATAATTTTTTCAATGTATCATAATGTTATCAAAACTTTTATAAATAAATAATATTAATTTTCTGAAGCGATCAAGAAGTGTTGGACCAAATCAAACTAATAATCGGAGGACACTTTCTTGGGAACTGGGCAGCATACACGGAAGTTGACCCCAAGGTTCGTGAACTTTGGTGGAACCTTTTCAAGGTAAAAAAAATGAATTTTCTCTGCGTAATTGTATTAACGTAACATTTGATAAAAGATAAATTAATTTATTTGTTTTTTATAAAGGGTCGGTTTCGATGGACTGAAGCCCAAGGTCCCGCTATTCTTAGAGCGTATAACGCTAGGATTTCAAACTGGCTTCGTCCTACTTTTAAGCGTGCCCGAAAGAGCGGGGTAAAGCCTGGATGGTGTTCGGATGAGGTGTGGGCTAACCTCGTCCGTCACTGGTCTTCTGATCCTAACTTCTTGGCAAGAAGTCAATCCGGTAAGAAAAACCGGATGTCCGAGAAGGCTTTAGAAACCCAATGGCATGGGGGCCGCAAACCTCAGAGTAGACATAAAGAAGATCTTGTAAGTATTTTTCAAAAAACCTTACACAATTACAACCCTTTATTTTAACAATTAATTATGGATCTTAAGCCTTTTTTCCAAACTGTAGTCGGGGCCTGAGAAGAAGAAGGTCTCAATTCTCAAGGTCATCAAGCACTGCTGGACAAAGCACGGCGATGAGTCCGATGCCGATCTGCCACCCCGCCTCGCTGAAATCGAAGTAAGTAACACTATTTTGTTACTTATTTCCATTCAAAATCAAATTGAGTAACATTAAATTAACAATTTTTGTACATGTAGTCAAAGTATAACACAAATGTTGAGAAGAGGCGGGCAGAATTAGGCTTGACTCAGGAGGATGAGATTGATTCTGATGTGGAGGATGATGCCATCTTTGAGGCAGTTGGGGTGTACAAGGGCCGGGTCCCGTGCATGGGGGCTGAGGGGCAACGGATCTTGTACGACCACAGCGGTGCTTCATCTTCCCGCTCAAGGCGCGGAGAGGATCCGCGTATCGCTCAAATGCAGCGGGAGATGGAGGAGCAGCAGCGGGCCTTGGCTGAGCAGCAGCGCACCTTGGAGGAGCAACGCAAAAAAGATGAAGAAACAAGGGCCCGGCTGGAAGAGATGGAACGGATCCTCAGCGCCGGAATTCGGAATCAGCCTCAGCCTCAGCCGTATGTACTGCACCCTGAGCAGACACCTCAAGTTCCGCACATGGGCGGTTATTTCCGTACCAACTCTGCTACCGGGTTGCCTTCATTTGGATCTATTCAGGATATCAATTTTCACAACCTGTTTCAAACATCTGGAGGCAGCCAAGCAGGTGGCAGTCGCGGAGGTGGCAGTCGCGGAGGAGGCAGTCGCGGTGGCAACCGAGAAGATGAGACCGAAGAAGATTATCTATATGATGTTTCTAGATATTATCATAATGGTAACCGGAGGAGCTTGTAAATGATATACATTTTTATTTGAACATTGTTTATTTACTATAATTCTATTGTGCTTATTATTACTTTTATTTCAGTCTGTTTGGTTATGAAATGTGTGTTCTAGTGGGTTCTAGTAGTCTGTTTATTACTTTTATTCTGCAAATATTTTTTAAAATAAACTTTTCTAAAGAATAATTAAAAAAAAATTTATTTTTTTATAAAAAAAAAACTTTTTTTTAAAAATAAAAAACTTTAGTCACGGATCCGAGCCGTGACTAAATTCTAGACCGATTTTTAAAAAAGTTATTTTGCAAATTTAATTGTTTTTTTAAAAAAATAAAAAAGTAGTCACGGATCAAGTCCGTGACTAAAATTTGAATTTTGAAAATTTAAACAGTAACATTTGGCGGTTAATTTTTAAAAATTTGAAAATTTAGTCACGGACTAGTCCGTGACTATATTTAGTCACGGAAAAGGCCGTGACTAAGTCGCCGGTGTGGTTATTCCGGTGACAAGTTAGTCACGGAAACTGTCCGTGACTAAGCCGTGACTACGCTAAGTCACGGATAAAATGACCGTGACTAGAATTAGTCACGCCCAAACAGTCACGGATTTAGTCACGGACAAAATCCGTGACTAGCGGAGTTAGTCACGGATTTTTTATACTACGGTCCGTGACTAAATCCGTGACTAACTCCGTGTTTTTTTGTAGTGATAATAAATATAGATATAACATCAATTACAAAATCTTTAAAATATAATGTAAATATGTTCTCACATTTAATTGAGATATGGAATATAGTATAGTCCGTATAATATATATGCATTATTATTATTGTTATTATGAATTGTTTAGTTAGTTAATTAGTTAATGTTAATAATGAAAGGTACGCACGTAGTATGGAATATAGCACTTAAAGTTATACATTTTACCAACAAGTAATGGTGGCTGAGTGGAAAGAAAGCCAAAATTTCTTCCTAGCAATGCAAGTTCGATTCCCACAGGTGATAAGTCAGTCGTTTTCCTGTTTTTTGAAAAATTAACGGGTTTATGGGTTCCGGACATCTGGGTGCGTCCCGGTTCTACCCTGATGTCAGTTGTAATGATATCTCTACTCAACATCAACTTTATTATTTAAGTTGTGTTTGGCAATGGCTGCAAATGGCTGATGTGGTTGTAATGGTTGAAATTGCTGAAATTGATAAAGTGAAAGTGTTTGGTAATATTTTGGCTGAACTGGCCGATTGAGTGTATATTTACCAAATAGGGTATTTCTTACTTTGTATTTTAAATATATGTATATTAACTTTGCTAGTAAAATCTTTTTTAATAAAATGAGTAAATTAATATTAAAAATTATACTTTTCAATAATTATACTAGTATTAACAAGCTCACATGTAAATATAAATAAATAAACAATGGATGATGGGGAATGAAAAAGTCCATAGATTTTGAAGCTCTGGCGACTTTGAAGCTACGTAGCTTATGAGCAAAGTGACGGCTGCGGAGGGGGCGCCACCTCCCCCTCCAGTCAAGGAGAAGGCGTGGTCTGGGAGATCTTTTGCATCGGTTGTGTCTGGGGAATCTGATACTCAGCCATGGTCAAAGAAAGACATTACTCGTTTTAAAGGGATGCCTTCTTTAACATTTCCGGAGGTGGAGGTTAACTTTATGGCATCGAAACACAAGAGATCTTGTAGGTTATTTTTTTCTCTGGGCGACCTTCTTTGATTTCACTGCGTAAGGCTTTTGATTTGTTTGGATTCAAAGGAAAATTTCAGCTAGGGTTGCTGGAGAAAAAACACATCTTAATTCGTTTTGAATTAGAGGATGACTATATATATTCGATTGTGGAACTGTCGGATTTGGGACATATTTGGCAGCACTATGCGTGTGTCTAAGTGGACGCCGGATTTTCAACCAAACGTCAAATCTCCGGTGGTTCCTGTTTGGCTATCTTTTGAATATCTGCCTATCCACTTGCATGATAGACGTGCCCTCTTTGATATTGCTAGTATGATTGGTAGGCCCTTGAAAATTGATGCCGCTACTGCATCTCTGTCCAGGCCTTCGATTGCTAGGGTTTGTGTTGAGCTTGACCTCACCGGGGAGATGCCCAACAAGGTTTGGATCCATTGTGGATCTAAAGGTTTTTCTCAATCAGTCATCTATGAAAACAGACCTCTTTATTGTGCTAATTGTTTACATTTAGGCCATTCTGGGGCTGCTTGCCCAAAGAGGTCTATTGATTTGGATAAGCCAAAGGCTACTTTGGTCCATGAGGAGCCGGACAGGTCAAAGGAGGTATGGACTGTCAAGAACACCAAGAAAGATCAGAGTATAAAGAAGGGGGAAGGGACTGCTATTGATATGGGAAAAGCTAAAATTACAGACGGGAAGTAGGGGGAAGGGACTGCTATTGATATGGGAAATGCTAAAATTACACAACATATAACATCCACAACTAATGCCTTATCTATCCCATCATCATCCAACCCAGTAGTAGTAGACTCAGATACTGACGAAGTGTATACAGAAATCTTGGATCCTATCACCAAAGCTCCAGTTTCTGTTAAGGGGTTACAAGTGGAGAAGGTTAATGATTCAGCTTATACATTGCAAAACAAGAGGGATGTGACTGAGCAGAACCCTCCTGGGCAGCCTACTCAGTCTTTAGTTCCTTACAATGATAAGTTCAACATTTCTGAGAAGGCCAACAGGGATCCCAAGTCATTCATAAGTAAGGATGATGTTCACACTACTGCCATGCGTCGCTCCCTGGAGAAAGATAATGATTTGATATCAAAATATCATTATACTGATGGATATAAAGAGATTCCGCCAAGATCAATGAATTTGCTAGAAAATTGGGCTGAAATTCAAGAAAGAGTAGAGATCATGTCCAAAAGACTTGCAGCAGAGGAACTTCTACAAGTAACAAAGGAAGTACCTGAAGATACAGAGCCTCAATTTGGGGAGATCACACAATCTGTGGGAGGCAAGACATCATCAGATGATATTGATGTCAGCAATAAGGGCACCTCAAATGATGTCTTGGACACCTGCAACAAGGACACCTCAGATGATGCATTGATAAATACTACAGAAACTGCAGAGAGTCATCAAGGTGTGGAAACTTCAATAAACAATTCAGAAACTGAGGGGTCTTATCCAGGGGATGATAAAGAAGATCTTTCTAAAATGGATAGGAAGAAATCTAAGAAACAAAGCACTACTCAAGATAATGTTCAGAAACGGGTTACTAGAAGTGCTGCAAAAGATTTATCCTCCATACCTGTTTCCCAATAAATTGGCTAATTTGGAATACTAGGGGTCTAGAGTCCTCCAGCTCTAGACTTAATTCCTTAGTTAAACAATGGAGGTTAAATCTTGTTGTTGTTATTGAACCTATAATTAATAATTCAAGGGCTGATTCTTTCAAATCTGTTTTGGGGCTGAATGAAGTTATTTTCTCTCCTATTTCCAAAATTTAGATTTTTTGGGATAATACCAGTGTGAGTGTCTCTCAGGTAACTTGGTACACTCAATTTGTTCACTTCAGAGTCCAGGGTAGTGTTTTCAATGGTTGGTGCACTGCGGTTTATGGTGGTCATACTTACATCTTAAGAAGAGAACTCTAGAATGGGATTAACAATATTTCAGCCGCAATGAATGAACCTTGGTTAGTGGGTGGTGATTTTAATGAAATTGCTAGTATTATTGATCATAAGGGGCACAGTTTACCTGCCTTGTATGGTATTAATGATTTCTCAGACTGCATAGCTAATTCCAATCTTACCGAGCTCCCTCATTCTGGCCCTCACTTCACCTGGACTGGAATCAGATCAAGGGGGAGAGTTTGGAGGAAAATTGATAGATGTCTATTCAATAAAAGTTTTCTGGATCTTTTTTATTGTATTCATGTATCTCTGCTTAATAGATCCCCTTCGCAGACCACAACCCTATGCTAATTCAGTTTAAAAATAATAACCTGAGTGGTCCTAGGCCCTTCAGATTCCAGAATATGTGGCTTACTCGTGTTTCCTTCATGGAGTTTGTGGAAAATAAATGGAAATCCTATGCTACAGGGGGTGGAATGAAAGGGATGGTTTTGAAGCTTCAACTTCTGAAGAAAGATTTAAAAGTTTGGAACAAAAATGTTTCTGGAGACATTTTCGATAATATAAAATGCTGTGAACAGGATGTTCTTGATGCAGAGAAGTCTTTTGAGGAGGATCCTAGTGATGAAAATAGAGAGGCTTGGTCTTTTAAAAGAGGGTTGTTGCTTCAAAAGTATAAGATTGAAAAAAAGTTTTGGAAACAAAAGGCTCATATCAGGTGGATTCATGATGGGGACTCTAATACCAATTTCTTTCATAATTATGTGAAAATTAGAAACAGGATGTAGGTTATTACCTCCATTGGTGATTCTGAGGGAAATACGTTCACCTCCCCTTCTGATA